GTGAAACAGTGCTCGATACAAATAGTTGAGCGGGTATAATGTGTGGTAGTAGGGTCTGTAGGGATGTATATGTAGTTGTTTTTTTTTCCGATTACCACACATTATTTATATCAATCCCTACATAATTAAAGGAATTAAAACTAGATTTACAAGCGCAAACTATTAAAATATGGAATCAGAAGTTTTATGCCCTAAGTCTTAAATGCATTTGAAACAATGAAACTTTTACGAAATCTCTCAGTCTTGAAAACCGGGTTGAACATGCGTGACTTCCTGAGATTATAACGCTTGGTATTTTGTGGTGGGAGTAAATTGTTAAGCTTACTGTCTTTGTTTTCCAAAATGTTCTTAAAAAGTTTGTCGGTCAGGGCTTGTCTTCTGCCTGACAGAGTTACAAGTCCTGCCTTAACCAGCGCCTCGTCATAAGGAAAACATGGACAAATAATAAGCATCGCCCTCTTTTGTACTCCCTTTAATTCACGAGAAAGATACACCAGTAGACTGTCACGAAAGAATGGGCAGGCATATTCAGTAATAGCGAATGCAGCTACGATAGAACTGTACAAATTCATCAGAACCTAGACCTGAGTGCTTTAACCGAGAGGGACAAAACAAGCGTTTCCTTGCCTTCTTAACACTGACTTCGGCAATATGAAATTGATGGTTCCATTTTAAGTCACTCGAAACATTTACACACCAAGGATCTTAGCATGCGAAACAACATCGATTTGGTTGTCATTAATAACAATAGGATCGAGATCGAGAGTCTCCTTTGTACTTAAACAAATCCTCATTTCCTTCCACTTCGTCTCGTTTAGCTGGAACTTGTCCGAAGCAGCACGCGAAGCAAAGGCGTCCACAACGGTTTGGATGTTGCTTGCTTATCCCTTAGGTATTATTTCAGAGATCGTAGAATCATCAACATACATCCATAGAACAAAACCTGGGATGTCAAGGTCATTGATCATAATTATGAATAGCGTCGCATAGAAGGGGAATAGCAAGTTGAAATGTCTCTGTTTAATTCGTCAATATACCCAATCAGACAAAACGCCAAATTAATCCTAGACTACGGGCAGACGACTCGTGTAGTAATTGTTTCACTGAAAAAAAATAGTTGTCGAGTGCCGCTGCCATCCGCCAAAACTGTTACGTCGAGCAAACTTCCATTGTCGCGTAGGTTTACTAGAGTCAACTGTCGTGAAAAGAGCAACTTTTCCACCAATCGAAGAAGATTCACCGTTCTAAAGATAACCATTTGAAAGATTCCCTGTTTTAAGGATTCCCTGTTTTATAGATTCCCTGTTTTAAAGAATCCTCGTTTTAAAGATTCCCCGTTTTAAAGATTCCTCGTTTTAAAGATCCCCTGTTTTAAAGATTCTTCGTTTTAATTATTTCTGCTTTAAAGATTCCCGCCTTTAAAGACCATTTTAAAGTTCGCACTTTTTAATATTTTCCATTCTTAACATTCCCGCTTTTAAAGCCCATTTTAAAGTTCTCGCTTTTAAAAAATTCCCCAGTTTAAGATTCCCCATTCTCCGTTCCCATTCTCCGTTCCCATTCTCCGTTCCCATTCTCCGTTCCCATTCTCCGTTCCCCGTTCGATATTTTAATGATAGCTCGAAATTTGTCACGCTCGACTATTTTATCGCGAAATCTTTACATCGAATAAAAACTAGCTTTGGTCTCTTACGGAAAAGTGAGTGATGTAACTAAAGAATAATCCATTTATCTGATTATTTCAATGACGAGATCAAGAGTCCAAAAAGAAGTGGCTCGAAAACTTTTTCTTGTGGCACACATGACCTTGGCTTCACCAGGCCGGATCTTATTTCAAATCAACTGACTTAGTTATTACTTGCCTTTGATTGCCTTTGGCTGAAAACCAAAGCAAAACTAGGACCGAAAACACGCAAAACTTGTGAATGTTCTGATTACGGAAGAAAATAAATATAGCGCCGAGAGTGACAAAAGTTCGTGGTTCGCCCAACCTTCAAAGAACTGCGAAGATTATGTGTTCCCCTTGGTTTCATGCATACTCGGTTAAAGAAAACGTGCAAGTTGAAGCTAACTGGGGAAAACGTGACTGGAAAACTACATCGGGGTGTACCTCGAGGGGACCGTTGGGATTTGCTGTGTTCATCTTTTTATCGTTTTGCGGTATACTTTTAAAAACTAGTTTCTGATATTTTGTTATTTGTCGAACAAAATAAGCAATACTCCCGATTTATTCTACCCGTACTCGTTCACAAACAATGAAATCGAAATTTTCAATACCGCACTCAGCAATGAGCTGAGCCTCATGCAACATTGAAATTTCTCGTTGATTGTTAGTGAACTCGTGTTGGTAAATCCCGCTGACTTACTCAGTGAATGCGTTAACCCGTAAATAAACATTATTTGATTGACCCCAGGTCGTGTTGATTTTTTATTACAAATGACTTCTGGACCTCTACCACACGCACTATCGGCAAGCCAAAGACCGGCGCGTGGTAAAGATGAAGGAAACCAGACCAGGTGAATCCTGAGACTCTTTTATATCGGTATCCAGAACCCCCCGAGTCCCCTTCATCCACTTTATTTCCCGCGAACGGCCTTTTGTCTGTCGTAAAATGGTGGCTCACATTGTGAACCTGGTGTTGACCCATTTCTCCGAGAAGGCGTGAGATGTTCAAAAGACCAAAAGGTAAGTTTTGAGAGAATTCCGTGAAATTTTGTCCGAACTTTGATTGAAAAATGAGGAACAAAACAGTGTCGGTATTTTTTAGTTAAGTATTTTTGGAAAGTTAAACGCGGCCTTCAAACCTTATACTTGCCGATTAATTTTGCATTTTAGAAATAATCGATCTTTGTAGCATGAAAATATTTCAAATATCCGGTCACTGTGTTGTCACTAAAATCACGCAACACACATTCCAGGTCATTCTATTCTTCCAAAAATTTCGCAAGTACAGTACATTAAATTTCGCAATCGAAACCCCTTCTAAAATTTGCAATTTCCTAATTTATTTATTCTGGAAAAGACCAAAGTTTACTCTCACCTGTAATACGTAAACACTGGTTCGCAATGAATAAATCGTTGAAATCGCGCAGATACGTCGAAACGCGGAACAAAGGTGTTTGAATTTGCGAGACACTCAGAGATCTAATTTTTTAGGGGTCTGAGTTTTCGTGACATCCTTTCGGGGAATTCTTCTCATGATTAAAATGCAGTTTCAAGACAAAGTAAATGCACATTCTTAAGCGCGGATTTGTACATAAATCTAGAGAAGAGAAGAGTACTCGTGGAAAATAATATTTGAAAAGAAGCATGGCGAACAAGTAAATAAAATAAATAACCGCCGAGGTGTGCTGAAGCTATCTCAGCGTAGTCCGTACCTGACCTATCTTGTAGAGTCGTTTCAAATTTTACTAGCAGGAATCTGTGCAACAAAAGTTTTAGCCGTATCATACATACATACATACATAGTTTATTTGGTAACGCAGGTTAGTTACTGGCAGCATTAAGCTGATGTGGACCTGCGATAAATCTAACTTCCTCAAGATTTGTTCTCACATCATCCATGCTGAGTATTTCGAGTAAAAGAGCAACAAACTGAATCGAACGTGATGCTGTTTTAATTACTTGTTTCCGGAGGAACCTGCTTTTAATCAGCTGATTCTTGTGAGAAATGCCACAACAAGAAATCTCGCCAAAATAATTAAAGGGAAGGATTTGCTACTGATGCCAACTATCGAATACCGAAGATTTTTGAAAAAGAGCCGTGACTTTAGGGTGAAACTGTGACGCCATTCCAAATTTACACTAACCATGTGGAAGAATAAATTACTGAAATCTTGCCAACATTGATCACGTGAAAGACACGCAAAACTCCCACATCCCATAGTCACGCCACAATCGTATTGGAGGTCTACCGATAGGAACTTGGTGTGATTTTCATCTGTCCGTTTTTCCTTATAAATCAAGCGAACAGTTCTTATCAATGGTCATTTAACAAAGAGATCTATTAGAAACCTTTTCAAATTTCTCCTCAACAGGCCATATTTAAAATATGAACTTTGCCCGGTAACAATCTCCCACGCAACCGGTTTTTACCGAATTCCGGTTAGCTGACCCGCACGTGACCAGCGATAACAATAGTCAAAGTTCATACATCGGGCTTTGTTACAAATTTTCGTTTCCTAGCGCGGGAATTCAGAGTTGATGGTGTACAGCATTGTTCGACTGTCTCCGTCAACTGTGTGCTATTTTACGTTTAAATTTCCAGGGTTATCTTTGAGGCAGGAAGATGACCGAAAGCAACCCTCTTCTCGATAAATACATGAGCCTCGATCAAGGTGAGCGAGTCCAAGTTCTGTACGTGTGGATCGACGGCACCGGCGAAAATCTTCGATGTAAAACCAAGACCGTAGAAAATGAACCGGTCACTCCTGAAGACCTTCCAATCTGGAACTTTGACGGCTCGAGCACTTATCAAGCCGAAGGCTGTAACAGCGATGTATATCTACATCCACGTGCATTATTCAGAGATCCTTTCAGACGGGGAAAGAATAAAATTGCACTCTGCGATACGTACAACTTCGATCACAAACCTGGCGTGTCCAACAACAGATTACCTTGTATAAATGCAATGAATCATGCAGATGTCAAGGTAAGGAATTGTTTAGAGGTTATTTAAACGCGTTGTGCTTCGTCCGATCCAATTGAGTCGAGAGAAGCTTTCCGTAATGCCGTTCGTCGGGCATTTGAGTCTTGTCCTTCCTCGTGTTCGATCGAACATGTGGCATGGTCTGAACTTTGACTTTCTAAATGCTTTGCCGACCGAGGAGATTTTAGAGTGTCTGGCAACACAGACGCGATTTTAGATATGACTAATTTTGCTTTCGATCGGGATTTATGTTACCTCTATATGCGATTGACTGGTCGGAAAGGAAATGGAATTGAAGCAGAAGGAAATTCCTGTGAGATGACTTAGACCAGTAGACCTGCTTTATTGTGTAATGAGAGGAACAATAGACAGTTGTACGCTTTTCTCCCTTCCCCTTTCAAAGTCATCTCTTCAAAAATTACTCGAGTTTTCCGAAATTTGGATTCGCCGAATTGAAGTAAGTTAAGGAAACATTTGTCAAGAAACTGTCGAATAGACGAGCAATATTTATTCACGGGCGTGTTTCGCAGGTCTCGGCAGTTACAAATGTATCTTTCATGAGGACTTTGGAATTTGCAAATTTACATTTTATTTGCCAACGTGTCTGCTTGAGCCTCCCATCTCATATGATCTGCAATTCAAAAGCATATATTTCGCAACTCTCTATTTAAAAAACAGAAATCTTTTTTTTACAAAGCACAGAAAATAATTGCTTTAGTCATACAAAATAAAGGCGTGCTCGAATCGATTTACTTCCCGCCTCTTTGAGCAGACAACATTGACATTGACATTCCCGCTAATTCTGGAAATGGAATGTCAGCCATGGGTCGCGAACGCTGGGCTTATGATATTTATTTGGCTTTTCATCAGCTTTGGTGAAAGCAGCTTGAAAGTTGAGAAAAATGGCAAAAAGTATGAAATGTTGTAATATTAAGATACAAGAGGCTAGACAATCCAGAAGGAAGCTGTGTTTAGGACCTAATCAATTTCCCTTCTTTTAATTTGGTTCACTTGACTCAAAAGTTTCTCTCTGCACAGAAGACATGTTTAACTTCTTAGTGGTAAGAAAACTCTCTGACAACCTTTCTAACCCTGGCAGATCATAGTGATGAAGTCCTCATGAAGGATATAAACCATTACACTGGGTAGATGAGCTCACAATTCTTTGTTCATGTCATTCATGGAATGTGTCGGTGTTGGGTTGATCCCAACATATTGCTGTACATTAATTTCAGGACATATTGGAATGACAGATGATAATCTGATGCTCTGATTGGTGCAAGCATACCTTAATGCTGTGAACTGAATGGTTTGAGTTATATAACCTAATGCAGCAATCTGATTGGTGCAAAATACATGCACAAATGTGGTGATCTAGCTAGCAACATGCCACTCAATATGCTAACAGTTATTAAAAAAAAAACTCAAAACTGGAGATCTCCTGTTGAGGATGCCAATCTCCGACCTCTTAATTTTGCTCTACCACCTCTGCATTCTGCTTTAAGCAAATTTGATTTAGGAATGTGTCACTGTTTTTTCTTGTTTTCCAGTGCTGTGGGAAAATGTTAAAGGTCTATCTTTATGTTTAGGTTTTATTTTAAAAGTATTTTTAAGTGATTCATTTTATGGTTTTGCACAGTCTAGCCTTTAATCTTGATTAAACACTTCAACCACATTTAGGCAGCCATCCCATGGTTTGGTATTGAACAAGAATACACTCTGTTAGACAAGGATGGACACCCTCTAGGCTGGCCCAAGGGAGGTTTTCCAGGACCACAAGGACCCTACTATTGTGCTGTTGGCACAGGAAAGGTTTTTGGCCGAGAAGTTGTAGAAGCTCACTACCGAGCTTGTTTGTATGCTGGTGTTAAGATTGCTGGAACTAATGCTGAAGTCATGCCAGCACAGGTTAGAAAACATGTTGGTAAAAGAAAAGACCTTGTGTCTTCATCTCTGACATGTATGCACTTTAACCAGTCAGAGTTATTATGAGTGAGAAGGATTTAGAGTCATTTATTTGATTGACAAAGTAGTTGTCAAAGTAATAGTTATTGGTATGTCTTATTCATCAGTTTTCCAAGAAACATGCTTGTGGTCATAATCTCTTATTTGCAGAGATTAGATTCATAGTTTTTAAATTTTTTTGCAAAAAGAGTGAGTAGCAGTTGGGTAATTCCTTGAGGTATTTATGTGTCAGTCAATTTAAAGCTTTAACATCCCCCTTCCCTCTAGGCATTTGAACTTTTGAGGATTGGTTTGTTCAAATGCCCCACTTAAGTGCTGGATATAATCATCAATTTTTTTGTAAAAGGTAAGATCAACAACAATGACTTTCTTGTGAACCTTTTCTTCTCAGCCCTCCGCTTGTGGAAATGAACTCTTTACCTTTTATCACCTCAGTATCAAAAGATAAAGCATTTATATTCCTCTGGAAAGTTTGACAGTTCTGGTTCAAATTCAGTACCCCATCTAGGCAAAGTTCAAATCTCCCACCCCCTGGGCATGGAGGACAGTCTAATGCCATTGGGTTGCCTGGAGAATGGGGAGGGGAGGGCTGGTGTGGATGCTTCAAATTTACTGGCACATTATCAAGATCATTGAAGAATGATCTTGACTGTATTCTTGTGTTAACCTTGCAGTGGGAATATCAAGTGGGTCCATGTGAAGGAATCAGCATGGGTGATCAGCTCTGGGTATCAAGATATCTTCTTCATCGTGTGGCTGAAGATTTTGGTTACAAAGTATCCTTTGACCCTAAACCCATGCCAGGGGACTGGAATGGAGCTGGTGCACACACTAACTACAGGTGAGAAGTTTTTGTGTACCTAAAAGGCTATTTGGCTAAGTATGATGTTGAACAAATGAACAGCCTTATGTTAGTATGGGGTAGCACTGCAGACAAGCACATTAGAATAAATATACATATAAAAGCAACAGTCAGTTCTTTGAAGGTTTGAAAGTGACTTAGAAACCATTAGCTTTGTGCTTAACTGTTTATTCTTGTTAATTCTCAGTCAACCTCATGGGAATGTCCTTCACAGTTACACAGACTTTTCACTTAACATCTTAGTCCCCATGGGGAATACATGGGAATTGAGATGGATTAGTGAACTAATTAGGGACCTTGTATTTTACAGTACACTTGCCATGAGAGAAGAAGGTGGAATAAGTGCAATCTACGAGGCCATTGAAAAGCTCTCCTTGCTCCATGACTATCACATCAGTATGTATGATCCAAAGGGGGGAGAGGACAATAAACGTCGTTTGACAGGTCGCCATGAGACAGCTAGTATTGAGCACTTCTCTCACGGTGTGGCTAACCGTGGAGCTAGCGTAAGAATTCCCCGTCAGTGTGCTGAGGATGGCTATGGATACCTGGAGGACAGGCGCCCTGCCTCCAACTGTGATCCATACAGAGTAACAGAGGCCATCGTGAGAACAACTATCTTGGGCCACAAAAAGGAGTAATAGCTTAATAGCATGTAATGTAGTTATCATTTAATAAACTTGGAAAGCTGGAATGCTTAATTTGGGTTATCTTCCTCAGTTAAACAAGAGACAGCAAGGGCTCTCCAGACAAAAATCGCAACTCTTTAAGTTAAAAAATTTTCTTTTTTGTGTTTGTGTAGGAAAAAGATCTAATACCTAAATTGTCAAGATTCTAATAATATAATTGTACATTGCCGCTCTATGTAGGAGACACTGGAAAAATACTCCAATACCTGTAGCATTTACTTAAAAGCCACTAAGTATTTTTGATTAAACAATGTAATAATGTAATTTCATTAGTTTTCATGAATGGGTTATTAAAGTACTTGCTGGTATCTGACCTGATTTTTAGTCATGGCTCCATACACCCAAGGCTTTCACTGTATTCCTGTATTTATATGATGTAAGAATTCTTCCACGTTTGCAACACAAGTGATGTTTTCACAATTTAAACACTTACTGTTGCAATGAGCTTGCCTCAATCAATCTTCTTGGGACTTGAAAGGTTGAGTTTTGACATTCATTGTTTCAAAAATTGCTTGGAGGTTTAGATTTGACTGCTTTGAATATTTTATTTTTATTAGACTGCATGGTGTGGGTGAGGGAAAGGGGATGGGGTTGGAGAGTTGAAAGGTGAATACCTTGGCGTAATTATGGATCCAAGGTTACCTTGAAAATAATTTATTTTAACTTAGCTTAATTAACCCTTTAACTCCTTGAAGTGATTAACATGTAACTACTCCCATTAACATCCATACATCATCCAGCAAACAGGTAATGAGAATACTGAGACTTATCAGGTAGAAGTTAACTTGATCTGATAACAAATTCTGGTAACTAATTTACAAGGAAATGTGTAGCAACTAGTAGGGACAATTAAAAATCAGATTATGGGAGTTAGTGTTGGAATGCATCAAAACTAGCAAAGGAAATCTATAATTACAAAGTTAAATGCCTTTTTTTCCAGAGGTTAGGTTTTAAGGGACTAAATGTAATGTTGGAAATTACTATTGATTTTTCTTTTGTACAATAGTTTGTTCTGTCAGCAAAGGGGGGGTGCAAAGGAAATCTTAAATTAAGCTTAAAATTGTGTTGAACATTCAATGCTTTGGTCAGTGGCAAGGTTTCTGAGCCTTGTCTTAAATGTCAAACTGACTTTTTTTATATTTCTGATAGTGAAGTACCAAATTCAACTTGGGTTGCAAAGGGCTTAAAGACTAATGAATCAATTCTCAAAAATCTCCCCAAAACTGCATTGGGACCGGTTGATATGTAGTTCCAGTGTTGGCGATTTAGGGCCCCTGGTCCAAGTACATTGGATAATATGGACCCTCTGGACTAAATCCACCAGATGATATGGACCCCCCTCGGGCAAAGTAGATGTCTGTATAACAGTTTTCTCTCCATTATGAAATTTTCCTGTAAAGTCACGTAAACGTTCTTTCAACCCTCTTGATTCTGGTCAGAGAATCCTCATTGTTGAATGCACCACACAATTTCATACTTGGTTAAAGATTTCCTTTGCACCCCTAGCTGGATTGGCGGGTCCAAATCCGCCGTGAGAACGCACAGGGGCATCCCTTGGATCCCTTACGATGACCAATTTACATTATTGAATCAGTTGGGTTTAATACGAACCAACAAATTGTCCAACTCCCAGTTGGCTTGTTAGCTCAGTTGGTAGAGCACTGCACTGGTATCACAGAGGCCATTGGTTCAAATCCGTACGGTCCCGAATTTGTCTTTCAGGTCTTTGCTTTCAAACATTCCAAATTGCCTTGTTACCCCCTCAGAAAGTCATGCCTCCCGAAACTAAACTGAAATTTCGGGCAACTTGACTCAGGTTTCGGGGAACAAGACTTCGGGCGAGATGACTCGGGCGACTCGACCGGTTACCCACGCAGCACCACAGATTCTCTAGAAACTTGTACTCCCTTTACCCCCTGGATCTGTCCGAGGGTTGGTTGAGCTATGGCTGGTCTGGGCCTAAGTGTGCTGTTCCCTTGGTAACCTCTCTCGCTGTTGACAGTAGAAATGGCGGATTATTTTGGCGTGAGAGACCAGAGGTGTGTTTGAACGTCCTTCAGAGCGTCTTAAGGAACAAAATGACTGATATATTGTGTCGGTGGCTTAACGAAGATGTTAAACTGAGCAGAATTATAGGTGAGTTTCTGAAAATCGGTGTCTAAAAGGTGCAGCATACATGGGTACAATGGGGAGAGCTAGTAACGAGCAGAGGATGTAGACATGCTTGTCTGAAATTAAAGCAGCCGAAAAGAAGTGTTGCGTCGTCAAATTCTTCCAAAATAAGGACATAACTCGAATTCTTTGTAACTAAAACATTGTAAGATGCCATGTTACATAAAATTATTTGATAATTTTGGTTTATATATTTTAAAACAACTTCTGCTAAAACAATTCCAAGGCTCAAAAGTCTTAGGGTTACGATTCAAATACTCCAGTGTTTTACTTGATTTTTTTTAAGCTGAATGTACCTAGAGTTTAATAGAATTGGGATCTCTATAGATTTTCCGGTGATATTTGAAGACGAAACAAATTTAGTAGCTGCTCTATCTCTTTTAGGGAAATAAAATGAGTTTAAATTGTTAGATGCCAACTACAAGTGCAGGGGCTGGAACAATACATGATACAGACTATAGATAACAGTTCATACAGCAACTTTATTGTTATTCATTGTTTGTCACCTAATGCCGAGGTTTTTTTGTACAAAAATCTCTACCTATACGCGCACAGGGTAACACTGTAAGGTGTGAAAAATAACACTGATTCGAAGTCTGATAATTTTCTGTAGGTGGTTATGGTGGATGTTTCTTAGTTTGCATTCTGTGTGTAGCCATTTTCAATATACCTGATTTTCTCCTTACCTGCATTATTTGTAGCCTTACTTTAGATATGAAATGGAAGATTTCAAACATGCTACTGATGGCAAATTGACATGCTTAGATTTTGGGAAGGCACTTGCAAATTACAATATATTTTATGAGTTACTACCTTAAAATGTTTCAAAAACAAAATACATACATTAGATTTAGTTACACTAATGGATAATGGATGCAAGTGCTGTCATCTTTGTAATTCATAGATACATTTGTCATACTGTAAATATTGATATCATTTATACTTACGCTTATATTTAAATATTTTTACCTTAATTTATATTTATTTATGTTGTGTCCCCTAATTAGCACAGGTTTCTAACCTAAGCTAGGAGGTTTCTTTAGACACCTTAATAAAGTTTCAGCATCATCATCAAATATTTATTTTTTCTATTTTAATGATTTGTCCTTACTTGTTAAATTTAGACCCCATAAACATTGCCAAGGAGTTTGCTACAGGTTACTTGCTTGGGGAACTCTTAAATAAACATGGCTTACAGGAGGACTTCTCCTCCTTCTCTCAGAACACGTAAGCATTGGACTTGTGTTGATATGGACAGTTAATCTGTGAAACAATATTCTGCCTTTCTAAACCTTATTAGGTTGCAATTTTTAACATTTGTCATATAAATGATTGCTATTATGTGTAGAGATACAACAACTAGTGTAGATTTGAGTTCTCCTTGAGCCTTTTGTATTTACTTTTAATGATATTCAGTGGATGCAATCAAGGTACATCATATTGTACATTAAACTTTGATTTTAATATGAGATATTGAAGAACATTTCAATTTGTAATGTATAGTTGACAATGAGTACTGATAGCATGCTTGAATTTTTATCAACATTTTTTTGAAGTATTTAGGGATGTTTAAGGGAGACCTGCTGTTTATATAGGCTGTTCCTTCAATTAATCATAGCCTGCATTTTCATCTGTCAGCTTCAAGTTTAACACCTTTTCAAACTTAGCTTTATATCAATAAAGTAGTATTGTAGCTAATTTCATGTTAACTATTTTCAAAGCACCTCTGAATCAAAACTTCATAATTTCACACGGCTGGAACCAACCCTAAAGTTGTTAGAAGTTCCCTACGATACGAATGTGGTAAGTAACTTGCATTTTTTCATTTACTTGGTATAAATTCATGATTTTTATCTTTCTAGTGTTCTAAAAAGTACAGCAACTTGTGTTGTTCAAATGAAGAAATAAAATTGTTGAAAAATACAGAGTATTAATTTTGTAGTTTGAATTTGGAAATTGATTTCTTCTTAGTATATGATATTATTATGTAACTCCACAATTTATATTAAACAAATGTACTGCAAGTTATTATTCACAACCAATGAAATACATGTGAAAACATAAACTTAATCTAATTCTAACTTAAGGTAGTCAGTGCCCAATCTTAGTGACACAACTTTTAGCAGCCTTTGACACTGATGCGCTTTGTTTTCCTTAGGCACAAGCTATTATGAGTGAGAATCACAGTGCTATCACAAGACTGATGTACCAACTCTTTATAGCACTTGGAAAGAAATCTGTGAGTACCTTAAAATAAGTAATGCCACTAGCATCATCAGGGTTGTTGCTAAGTGCAGGTTGCCAGCTGGCGATTGCTCATTAAAGCACAACAGGCACTTCTAAGGTTACGCACTTACATTTGTTTGATATCAAATGCTGATTAATCATCTAATTGAAATTTTTTTATGCCTGAGTAACCTGAGCATTTGTGACCCTAGCACAACTAATATAATTGAAATAAACATTGTTTTGAGCACTTGGTAATATCATGATTTCTTTCTGTTTCTTTTATCCACCATTTTGTAAACAAGAAGCTTAATTTAGGCTCAGCATTAAAAAGTTGGTGAATGATTGGCAACAAAATGTGGTTACTAGGTTGGGTCTATAATTGCAGGCCAAAAATTCCCCTTCTAAAAGAAGAAAGCACAAAGCACCTTCATGTACTTTGAAGCACTATCTTTAAGCTCAGACTCACTTGAAGTGTTAGCCGGCAGCCCTATTTGTTACATATATTACAAACTTATATCATTATTTCTTGTTCAAATTTTTGTATTTTATACCAGTTACTAAGCCACATGTTAGGAGCAAGGAAAATTTTGATGGGTTCCTTGTTCCCTAAAATAATTTCCTCTCAAGAATTATTTTTGGGCTTACGGTAATTTGTGAAACAAAATGAAGGGAAACAAAACAAAACAAGTTTTGCAGACAATTTCTTTAGGCGCTCTGCTCCCGAAAATTGTTTTGCTAGCTAATGCAAATTAAGACAGGCTTACAGACACGACAATAAATTATTCCCTCTCTACGAAACTGTTTCTGCTAGATACGTTGTTTTGCAAAATACCAATAACAGCCGGCTTATGGTATTTTGCAAAATGAAACGAAATGAAACAAAACAAGGTTCGCAGACAATTTCTTCAGGCGCTCTGCTCCCGAAAATTGTCTTGCTAGATAAAGCAAAGACAGGCTTACAGACGCAACAAGAAAATTAATTATTCCCTCTCTTTGAAAGCTGTTCTTGCTAGATGCCTTGTTTAGCAGAATACCAATAATGGCCAGCTTATGGTATTTTGCGAAACAAAACAAAACGAAACAAGGTTCATAGACAATTTCTTTAGGCGCTTTGTTCCCGAAAATTGTCTTACTAGATGAAGCAAAGACAGGCTTACAGCCGCCCAACACTGAACATTGCTTTCCAATGGTAGGATGCCCAAGCAAACCAAAGGATGGCAGCTTGAACGCCATGTTCACTGAAAAACTACAAGTTTTCCGCCAAATCTGATACATGTGACTTAGAACGGAAGTGTCATGCATTCTCTCGTGTGAGAATGAATAGTAAATAATTGTACACCAGGACAAGAAAGAACAAGAGTCACAAAATATAAATTGTTGATAACCTATCGACTGGACTAAGCCTCTGGCAAAAATTGAAAATATTTTGTAGGTTTTAATAACAATATACAATACATACCTACTGGTAGACATTCTATAACAATGTCAAAGGAGGGGGGCTTTGAGAATTTTTGGTTTTGGGGTTTCTACTGTTTTTAGATCGGTTTTTGGGCCAAAAAGGTTCGCTTTTTCGGTTTTGATGTTCAGAGCGGTTTGTGGATTTTTTGTGTTTTTGCATTCGGTTTTAGGTTTTCACGAAAACTCTTATGCAGTTTTTGGTTTTTCCTTTTTGACCCCTTTAAAGGTGAAAATGTAGCGGTTTTGTCAGGTTTGCATGCAGTTTTCGGTTTTGCTGCCTTTTTTTGTCGGTTTTTCGGTTTTGGAGGTTTTTTTCTATGGTTTTGCTGTTTCCCAGAGGCCCCAATGCCCCTCTCTCAAAGGGCAGATTTTTTGTTTTCCTCTTTGATATAAATTAGCCACCTATTTCCCTAACAAGATCTGTATCAAGGTAATTTTCGGAAGCAGAGCGCCTGTAAATAATTTTTATAGTCTATCAGTCAGTGAATCTTGTTTCGTTGATTACTAATCGGCCGCTACTGGTATTTTGCAAAACAAGGCATCTAGCGAGAACAGTTTTCATAGAGAGGGAATAATGTCTTTGCTTTATCTGGCAAGACAATTTTCGGGAGCAGAGCACTTAAAGAAATTGTTTGCGAACCTTGTTTCATTTTGTTTCGTTTCGTTTCGTTCCGTTTTGAAAATTACCATAAGCCTTATTTTTGATCATATATATTTTGCTTTGAATCGTTTGGATGCCTGGTGGTACTCGTATGTGTTTCTAGACTGGATCCATACCTTAACTTGTGAGTGAGGTGTCATTTGTGATATCAGGTGACATGGAAATGATGATATCAAGAAGTACTTGTTTTCAAATATACTGGGTGAAAGGGGTAATTTATGAAGCAATGAAATGGTGAACTTTAGTTTAAAAAAATGAATCATTTCTGAAATAGATTATTATCTATTTTCCTGACAATTATTTATTTTGTTTCTTCATTAACATATGTCAGAAAATGGGACTAACTGGAGTCGCTATGGAAACCATGAGACCTAGTGGTCCAGTGAAGCTGGAAAGTATTGAAAGTGGACTTTACAAAGAGGTTAGTACCATGGATCATCAGAATTAAGTAGAATGAAAAATTTAACAGTCTTGTAAAAAGTTGGTTAGTAGCTCCCTTAGACTCAGCAGCCTTCACTCTGAACACACACATGCAATGAAATGTTCTCAAGAGTGAAGTCCTATGATGCTAATTAATAGATTAAGTGAAATAGTATATCGATCATTAAACAGTGTGGTTGTGGCTCTTGAGTAGTGAACCTCATAATGTCTTAATTAAAGAGAGAAGTTAATAGGAATAAACTAATCCAAGTTCCACTTGAAGTAAATGACTGCTGTGAAGGTCAATGCATCATCCTGATACTCTTTACAACGTGAAATTAACAGAGTTCAGTTGTGTTTGGCTGTAAGTTAACTATTCATCAACTGCAGGCTTGGTTCCTTGTAATATTGTATTTGCTCATGCCCCACTGAAAAAACCTGGAAGATATCATTTTGTAGATAACAAATCTCAACATTACATATTAATTTCTGGTTCACAAAGTAACTGGTGCAAAATAGTCCGAGAGCCAGCTGGTTTCTGCCACCTACCAGCTTCTAATGAGAACCCAGCAGTGGCAGCTCTTATGCCCATTATTTAAACTTTTGACTTCATCACTGCATACCCATTATGATCATACTATCGATGAAGAACTCAGGAATTGATGATTTTTGACCATGGTCCAACAGTGGCAGACTCTTCTGACTAATACTCATGTTTTAATAAGTATTAGTGACAGGTACAAGTTGTATTTGTCAGGTGTATTTAGAAATACTTTCTTTACAAGATTAGTTATGATAATTTTAAAATAAACTGCCTCGTGTAAGATCACGTCTTTGTGTGATATAATTTACTATCCATGACACATTATTAATGGTAATTTTCTTTCATAGTGCATCATTTATCATATATTGTTCATAATTGATATCAGAGACAATATGAAAAGCTGAATTATGCATATATTTTGATTGGTTATCAATTTCTTATGATCTGTTGGAGGACAAATGCATAGATGTCACATCATCATTAACATTTTACATTTATGTCACATAAACCAAAGAGATTGTATGTTGCTGTTGGACTGTACAGAAATAGATAAGTCCTCAGTGACACATGTAGCTGTGCCTTGACTGCCACTTTTTAGTTCTTCATGTTAGTAAATGTCATCTGTGATCTGTTATGTGACAGACATCAGTAACATGGAATCTATTTTTAGCTGCACCATCCATTCAGCTGAATTAAAATAATAAGTACTAAGTTATTTAATAACAGTCATCAAACGGTATCTCAGACTGTTAATAATTCATAAAGAACCATGCATCATTTCAATGTGTTTTTATCTTGAATTAAATTTACCAAATTACACAAGACCAACATATTTTTTGTCTGTTTACCTCAGAAAATTCCCTTGATACAAGACAGTGTGGCCATAACTAAAGACCTTCTTCACTCAGCTGTCAAAAGTTTTGTGCATGAAGTTGCAATTGAAGCAATCCGTGAACAAATAAGTGACTTGGCAGTTGATGTTGTAAAGGATTTGCAGGAAATTTCTTTTGAAGTCTTTCACGACATGAGAACAGTTGTTACTCAAGTGCGTGAACTTGGACATGATAGAACTTTGAAAAAATATGCTAGGCATATAATGAAAGATGTGTTAACCACTTCACGAGTTGTTATGGAATTTGTAAATGATCTTGATGATATAATCCAACTTCTCAAAGTTGTGTTTGAGGCAACCAACAGTTGAGTTTTGTTTTTTTCTTTTGATGATGCAATAGTGATGCAATTATACTGAGTATAACTTTTTGGGGGTTATATTTAAATTTCTAAAGGAATAACGGTTCCACCCGAAATTTAAAAGTTGGTTTGATTAAATCTTTGAATTTAACAGATAAAAATAGCACATCATAATACGTGGTTGCCACAGACCAGGAAAAAGTCAGGAAAAATGAATTTCTTAAAAAAAAGTCAGGGGAAAGCGAAATTCAAAGGAATCGTGAAGTTGTTGAACTGGTCTTGGCCATCTTCATGATGAATGATAGTTACACTTTCCTGATGTTACTCGTGTACATAATGTTTAGTGCAGTTGAGAGTTTCTTAATCAGCATATCCTTCCCTTTGCGATGCAAGTTCAAGATGTTTTGTGAATGTAATCATACATTTTCTTTTTCCTTCTATATTCATTACATTCTAACATTTTACATTCTTTCATTGGACTTGGAAGGTGTAAGACTGAATGATAGAGTACTGTTTGATAAAATTAAACAACAAGCTGCTGTTGAGTCTCAAAGAAAATCAATCCTTCAGTCAATTAGTATACACAGTGTGTGACATGTTGAAAGACAATTGTACTTTTTTCCATTCTGGTTTAATTTATATATTAACAATGGCAGCTAAAGAATGAAGGGTCAAATAGTTATTGACAGTACCAGTTACATCATCAAATAAGTAATTTTTAGTTTAATTTTAGGAAAAGTCCTCAAATTTGGCCAATTTAACATTGGATTGATTTTAAACAGAACTGAAAGGTGAAGCATAGCAAGAAAATTTTTTTCACCCATACACTTAAGGACAAATTTACAACAAAAAAACAAAAACAAAGCTTTGTGTGTCACAGATTTGTTAGGGGAATCTCAAAAACCTTTTGGTGTCACATTATTTTGTATTAAGTTTTCAAGGTTACCAAGGGTTACTCCCCTTAAGTTTTCTTGCAACATGTCTTCCTTTTTACAAACTGACAATGCTGCTTTTACATATGTCTGGGAAATGTGATATTTTCTTATTTCCAATACCAAACAAACTTTAACTTGTTAGATACTAGGTGAAAAAATGTCTGCTTGACTAGAAGACTGAAGTCATACTCCAAACTTTTTAAATTTCATTGTACTGTCACATTTTAGAATTTGTTGTTAGTTATACCCTTCCAGACAAACATAGCATGTTATAAATGCAACAATGTTTCTTTTATACCCTACTTGTGAAGATGCGAGTCCACAACTGGGTGAACTCCATGTAATAGCGGAGCTCGCAGCATGTGCAGCAAAGCCCGATAATTACACAAAATGGTAGTAGTAACCCATCGATCTGAAAAAAAAATTTGGACTTGTGACTGTATGGGCCTCTGTATAAGGTGCTACTTTTAGTGTGCGCAGTCAACTGTACTGCGGGTATGCCAGTACTACAGCTTTGTCCAGTGGTCAATGCACTGGGCTCTAAGTCAGACAACCTGGGTTCGAGTCCTGGCTGGGGCAAGGCATTGTTGTTTTTTTTTTATTTTTAATAGATTTATTTAAAGCATTCTCTTATGTTTACATACAAAATAGAAATTAAGAAAAAAATAGGAAAATAAGAGAAAAAGAGAGAAAGACACGCACAGACACACACACACACACCCTTATAAAGTACAAATAGAAGAATACTAAGCTAAAATACACACCCAAAGCTATTACAGCAGTACAGTTGCCCAGTAATTAAGGCAAGGTATTGTGCCCTTGAGATGTGTAGGGAAAAAATGCGAGCTCTGCTTTCAGGCTTGGCTAAATCTATATAATTATTATTATAATTGAAACAACCAAAAAAGTATACAGTAGCCTTTGTTTCCTACAAAGGATTATCTTTTGCCAAAAAAGGTTGGCTGTTCTACCAAATGGATGTAAGATAACTTTAACTAGTAGGACCATTTTCTCAAGGTAGAACATTTCAGTTGGTTGAACAATTTTTCTGTATCTAGAATATTTTCAGTGACATGACCATGTTTAATTTAATTTAATTTAACATAATTTATATAGCACTAACTCAACTAATTGACCAAAGCGCTTTACATTATTCGTAATATTAAAATAATTAAAAAGATCCCACTGGTAATAAAATATGAATAGATTAAAACCTATTTGCAGACTTATTTATAAAAATATCACAGTAAATCCTATTCCAAATTATCAAAAAGTTAAACATTATAATTATGCTTTTTGAAAAAGATCGGTCTTTAAGTGATTCTTGAATAAATTAATTGTATCTAAACTTCTAAGATCTAATGGCAGCTCGTTCCAGAGTTTAGGTGCAGCAACGGAAAAGCCCTGTCTCCGTATGTTTTAAGTCTTGACTTCGGAACAGCCAGAAATTTTTGATCGGTAGAGCGTAGCGTACGTGAACATGTACGATAACTAAGTAATTCCGCTATATATAATGGTGCCATGCCATTAAGGGCCTTATAAACTAACAATAAAACTTTAAAAAGAATCCGAAAGTGAACAGGTAACCAATGCAGTTGAAGCAATATAGGGGTGATATGATCAAATTTCTTGGTTAAAGTGACGATGTGAGCCGCCGTGTTTTGCACAGACTGCAAACTACTTATCATATGCTTAGGGAGGCCATACAATAAAGAGTTACAATAGTCTAGTTTTGAACTAACAAATGCATGAACAAGAATTTCTGTAGTTTCCTCAGTGAGGTACTTCCTAATTTTAGAAATGTTCCTTAAGTGGTAGTACGATGTTTTGCAGATCTTATTTACATGTTCCACCATATTACAGCATTTGTCAAATATGACACTGAGATTCCTAGCTGAAGATATGGGGAGTATTTGTTCATCACCAACTGACACATATGAAATGGCAGGCTTTGGGCGGAATTTTGAACTAATTACAATCGGATCAGTTTTCTCCTGATTGAGCTTTAGCATGTTGTTTGTCATCCACCAGTCAATATTTTTGACACATCGCTCAACAGATGACTTAATTAGCTTGAGCGAGGTCAGCAAAGCACTCAGTTTTAAAAGAAATGTAAAGTTGAGAATCATCAGCATACAAATGGTACTGTAGACTATGAAAATTGATAATATCAGCAATTGGAGATGTATATAATAAATACAGCAAAGGACCTAACACAGATCCTTGAGGCACCCCATGTGCTAAACAGCGTTGTGATGACTGACAATCTTCAATTTGCACAAACTGTTTGCGAGATTTAAGATACGAATCAAACCAAGCAAGGGCATTACCCTTAATACGAAAACGATGGGAGAGTCTAGAAACAGTATGAAATGGTCAACCTTATCAAAGGCTGAGGACAAGTCGAGTAGAAGGAATATAACCGACTTGTTATCATCAACAGCACGCAGTATGTCATTTTGTACTTTTAGTAAGGCCGTCTCAGTCGAGTGCAAGACCTTGAAGGCAGACTGATACATCACGTCTAGATGGTATGACTTTACATGGTCAGTCAATTGTTCAGCAATGGCTTTCTCAATGATCTTTGAGATTGGTGTTAGATTGGAGATAGGACGAAAATTTGAAAACTGTTTGAAGTCAGCATCAGGTTTCTTCAGGGACGGAGATAAAGCAGCGACTTTCAATGCAATAGGCATTCTGCCAGTTGAGAGAGACAAATTGACAAACTTAGTTATTGTAGGTAGCAACACCGAGAAACAGCCCTTTAGAACCATTGCAGGTAAAGGATCCAAGACACATGACTTAGAAGAGGGCTTACGCGCAAACACCTTTACTTCCTCTTGGCTAACCTCTCTAAAGTTATTGAACTCCACAGGACATGTTAATGGTATTGGGAGAAAGGGCCCTACGATGATATTCCTTGGAACAAGTTTGGAGTGAATTTTATCAATCTTTTATCAAAATATATGAGCTTCATATATTCATTGCATCTGATTTATCAATCTTGTTAACAAAGAAATCAGCAAATGAATTTGCCAGAGCAGAATTATCAACAGAGGGTAGATAACGCTTCTCAGATGGTTTTTGAAGTAATTTATTAACAGTTGCGAATAATATCCTTTGATCAGAGGAATGTTCATTGATGATTGAAGTGTAGTGCGCTGATTTCAATGTAGCAATTAGTTTGTTAAACACACAGCATTGATGAACATATTGATCCCGGTCCCACTGTAGCCGCAAAGCACGCCACCTCTGTTCCAGTCTTCTTCTTTTCCTTTTCTCAGCAATGACATCCGATGTATAACACGGTGCAGATGGCCTTACAGTTACCAGATGTTTCTTTTTTGGAGCATGTTGGTCCATTAACTGTCGCAGAACCCTATCATACTGATCTACCATCGTATCTAAGTCAGTAGCTTGATCTTGTATCAAAGGAGAATCCATAATGTCCTTACAAAAGGAGTCCATATTTAAGGAGTGTAATTTCCGGACGTTAATCAATTTTTTTCTAAATTGAGGTTTCTGAATAGATAACACACAATGAATTGCAAGATGATCCAAAATAACAGGATCCTTAACTTTGTTTTTCTTGATAAGTGAGTCATCTGATCTTGTAATGACTAAATCAGGGTATGGCCACTCAGTGAGCCTAAACAAACCATTCTCAGTAGAATTTAGGTGTTGTTTTATTGACTGTATCAAGATGGATTGCAATAATCATGTGGAAATAATTTTCTTCATCTGAGTTGTCCTCCTCATGGAACTGCAGATATGTTAAACATACCTGTCCAACAAAATTAGGTGGAAGGACCATTTAATGTTTAAAACGGTAATTATTATTAGAAGTTGTGGTATTAAAGCTATTTAAAAGTCTAGCAAACATTGTTGTAAAACAAATTCAAGACTTCTTCATGAAATTCTGATGGCCGAAGCTAAGAAAGTATTACTCACCATTATATTAAAAAGAAAAACCTTATAAACATTTTCTTTCCACGCACATAAACATATGCTTCCTCACCATTTAATGGTGAATTCAAGACTAAAATTAACATTATATAATAATATTATATAATATTAATTTTATAATATACTGTTAATATTATACTAAATATTAATAGTATATTGTTGATATTACTGGTGAATTTTGTCATTTGATTGATGGTGGGTTTTATACTGAGTCCAATACATGGCAAATGAACAGCCTAATTAGCTGTTTTGGGGTAAAAAATACTTATTAATTATACCTACAACAGGCCAATGAGTTTTTGGTGCATTGCCATCAGCATTTGCTAGAATGTTATCCTTAAGCAGGTCAAACTAGGATTTTATCAGTTATGAATAATGGCGCAGAATCATGATCATCATGCTATAATTGAGTAAGAAAAGTAATGAAAAAAATTCCTCTATGTCTTTGTCCTCTATGTCTATGTCTATGTTATGAATAATGGCGCAGAATCATGATCATCATGCTATAATTGAGTAAGAAAAGTGATGAAAAAAATTCCTCTATGTCTTTGTCCTCTATGTCTATGTCTATGTTATGAGTAATGGCGCAGAATCATGATCATCATGCTATAATAGAGTAAGAAAAGTAATGAAAAAAATTCCTCTATGTCTTTGTCTCTATGTCTATGTCCTCTATGTGATTAGTCATTTCTTAAAATTTTGATGCAGTTCAACTTGCTGTATATACTTAATACTGATTGAATATGCAAGCAGTATCTTGAACCACATTTCACACTGGTCAGAATCTTGAGAGCTAGGGATATTTCTTTACTGTATAATTCAAAGTAGCATCTATCTCATGGAAAATTCAAGTTTATAACGGTTTTAAATCTAATGTGGAGTGCATTCATGTTGTTCTATACTATAGCGACTGAAGCAGTTAACCAAACGACAAGTGGATTTGAATTTTGAGCAGTTAGTTCAGAGATACCAAGCCAAACAGAAAGAGCAAGAAGACTTGGCATTGAAGGCAAAGTATGTTGTGACACTGGTAACCATTAGTCTAAAATTATATAAACTGTGTCCTCTCTTTGATGTGAAGGTATGCTTGGATATTGGTAAACAGATCTTGTCTGTTCCAAGAGCAATTAGCTTGCTTAAGGTAGCTGCAAGCTTCAAAAAACAGATAATGTCCAAAGATAAATATTTGAGCAGCACTTCGCAACATCCTCCACCCCACATCAACAGTCATCCATTGACGTTCATTGTTAAAATAATTTTTCAATTTGTAGGTTTGAGGAAGAGGAAAGAATGAGGAAATACTTACAAGGACAAAGACAACAAGGCCTAGATAAGGTAGCATACAGGGCTGACATTAATTGATCTTCCCCTCACGATGACTCAGTACAGTTTGTGACAGTTAGAAGTACTTCACTGATCAAAAAATTAATAAGGTTTTCACAGAATATTAGCCAGTGTTAAAATGTTTGAAATAATGCCATTTCATTGGGAAACTGTTGTAAAACATACCTGATTCATTACTTCAACAACTGAGGAAGTTGACTGATCTTTTCTCTGGAATCTGTTAAGAAAGATTCCAGAATGATTTCCTTTCTGCTGTGATGCACAGCTTGATTCTAAGAAAATATGCAGAAGATCTGCAGCAGGAAAACAAAACCACCCAAGTCCTGGTTTAAGACATTCTGAGTTCCTCAGAAGGCCAAATTGATCTGAGTCTATGATTTTTGTGGTAATGTTTATTGAGTGTATTATTTTATTCAAAATGGTAACAAGATGGTTGACTATGGACAAAAATAAAGATGATGCATGCAATCTAGGTATATATTATTAGCAGGTCTCTCAATTGAAATAGGTTACTTTATTGTAGCCTGGGTAAGTCCATTGGGGTAGTCCATGGATTGGGGGTCAGTCACACATTTGGAAAGTATGGTCTATTTTGTGAGAATGTTGCAAGCTGCTGGATAATCAGTTCATTATATTTTACTTTCTGATCAATTTCTTTCAGTCAAGACAAGCCAAACAAAAACAGTTGGAGATGATGGGTAAAATAAGGTAATCAGAAGCAAACTCAACCACTTTAGAACTCAATTAAATGCTCTAGTCACCTGCCAGTAACTGTTGGATTTTTACATGAAGAAACAAATCAAGCCATGCATTGTATTGTTTTGGCTACTTAGGGATTGATTTGGAAATTGTAAGGTTTTGTACCATTTTAATGATTCAATTTACTGGAACATGATCTTAGGTCACAGCCATCTAGGTTTCTCAATGATTTTAACTTTGTGTTTAAAATAAAAAAAAAAAAAACTTGTAATGATATAAATGGAAATGAACCAATCAATACACATGCTAATAACCAAGGTCATGGAATTTTTTTTGAAAAGTCATGTAAAAGGCTTGAAAAGTCATGGAATTTTCAGAGCTCAAAGTGTTCAAACCCCTATGAAGGTTAATAGTTGAGTTTGCTCTTGTGCCAAATGGCTTGTGTATCATGGGTGTGTATCATGGGTGTGTATCATGGGTGTGTATCATGGGTGTGTATCATGGCTTGTGTATCTGATGCAGCTTGAGCTTATACTGTCTGGTTTCAAAGCATCAAGTCATTAGGAGTATGTAATACACTTGGATGAGATAGCAGTTCACTACAGGTTACCTTAAACCTTTTTGTCAGGCTTCCCTGATAAATTGTCTGATGTGTACTCATGTGCATTCCTGGGTTGAGGAAGGCACTGTCAGAGTAAAGTGTCTTCCCCAAGAACATGACCCAGTGACCTGGTCAGGTCTTGAACTGTGACTCGTTAACTTTGGGTCCAGCTCTTTAACCATTAAACCTCAGTTAATTTTAAATTCAGTAAATATAAGAAGAGTGTTCAGTAGCAGGTTTTATGTACAAAGAGAGAAAGTGTTTTAATCATTATGATAATTAATTATGAAACTGCTTGTCTGCCTACTCCTGCAACAGGTCTGCCAAATCTGCAAGCCATGCGAGCCACAGTGCGAGCCATGTGAGTCATGCGGGCCATTTTTGCAAGTATTTTTTTTTCTTTGATTGGTTCTAGGTCTGGGAGGTCGTTGACCATTTTGTGCCCGGCTATCACTAAACTACTATCGTTATAAACCGTCCGTCCACCATCTTGAAAGTGGAGATGATCCTGGGGACGAGTGTAAATGGTATAACCTTCCTCGCTGGGTACTCTCTCTTTCCCTGGGAAATTAATTTTAAATTTAGCTACAAGAGTGCTTAAAATTGAATTATACCCAGAAAAAATCCTTTTATGTATTCAAATCGCTCAGGATCCGCAAAAAATAAAAACAATGCGACAAAAATTAATTAAGGTTCAAGACTTAAGTAAAAAAGTTTTCTGAGGAAAACTTACGGCTCCAACCCCTTCCCCTACTTGAATGAGTTGTTGAGTGGTAATCCATTGACTCCTGTCATTCATTGATATCCACGTGGAAAATCATTCAAGAGAAAAGAGAACAGTACTTCCAGGGCAACTCTGTGTATTGGCGTCAAGAATGGTGTGTAAATCATATAATTTTAACAGCTTCGCTCTTTAGCAGAGTTATCTTGTTCCATTGCTCTTGTTCTTGTTGTCATGCAAATATAAATGTAACAAATAAAAATTCTTAACATTTTGACTGTGGCTCGCATGGCTCGCCCCTTGGCTCTCGTGGTTTGCTGGCTCGCAGATTTGTAATACTCCCTGTAACATGAGGTGTGATCCATTTCATGCTTTTTTTTCTGCTTAATCTTTGCCAAATATTATTGGTATCTTTCACACACAAGCTTCGGGATTTTTGTTGAGAAGTAGGAATTTTTTTTAAGAATTTGTGTTCTTTAGAATTTGATGGGTTTCCTTGATCTTCATTCTTTTCAATGTCCTCATCTTAGATCTGCTCTCCTTTACAGGGATAGTTCTATGACACAAACATGTAGGTTTTTTATTGTAGACTATTCCAACATTTAAAGTCATGACGATTGAAGTGACATATGTGCCAAGAGTGTTTTACTATTAATAGGACAGTCAACATAAATATTGATCAATGTTTGATGTGTGTAGGTCAATGCTAATTAATGTGTCCTTTTTTATTCCTCTTCAGGGATGCAACAGTGAGGATTCCCAAACCTCCTGATTCCAAGGTAAAGTTAACAGTCAAGTGCTTTTATAACTTACAAATTGATTAAATAAAGTTTTCAAGGTACAAATTGGTCCTTATAACTATTGTTCATGTAACTTATATATTTCAATATCAAGTAGTTAATTTGTAAAGGGATTATTCTACTGTAAACAACAGATTTTGAATAGGAGGTGCATGTAAACACTATTGAATGTCCTGTGTGTCCTTGTACTGTCAAATATACCCCTGCATACACGAGTTGCCTATCTCGAGTTGGCATACACTGACAGACTGTTTTATTTTACCCTTGTAGAAAACAGCAAAATCACGTACTGAAATCAGACGTCAAAGAGAAGCAGAGGTAATGTATTTGGACAAAAAAAAATATCTCTTTGGTTCATTTGCTCTTTTGAAGGTACTTTACAGATTTTAGATTTGATGGCCTTGAATTGAAGAGTTACAGACAAAAACACAATCTTTGCATTAGTGTGCACAGGAATTGTTGGTCCTCAGTAATGTCTCCAGACATACTAAAAATGTATTTGTGTAGCTCCTGTTGCTTGCAGCTTTTTTTTTTATTCTTGCAAAAGTGTGGTAAATCATGTTAAAAGGACAGAAGTTGATTTCAAATGTCTAGTGGGACAAGTGCTTTTGAAATTAATTTTCCAAAGGGAAAAATTCTTATCTCATACCATAGTTAATGGACACTCATAGGTAACTTCTCTTCCCTTCTAATTCAGCATTTTGCATCATAATGTGTAATAGTTTGTTTTACAAAAACCAGTAAATGGACAATAAAAAAAATAAAGGATCTGTTTTTAAAGGTGTGACACTTCAGGGCTTGATATTATGTGTGAGTACTATAGTTACTCTGAGTTTAGATTCTCAGAATCAGATCAGCTCTCCAATTCCTCCTTTTCTTTAACCACTGTGACTGCCACAGTATTTGTTTAATATATTGCTCTTCTGGTCCTAGAGTAATAATTTAGTAAATGAGTCTACCTTTCCAAGAAAGGCATATTTATATACTCAAGGGAATTAAGTACCTGAGTTCAATGCTGAAATTAAAGTTAGATAAAAAGCACAATTGTATGGTTATGATCTTCAGGAGGTAAAGGAGAGCATTGATGCATTTGAAGCAAGCATGAGGGCTGTGATTCCGCCAGCTAGCCCAATAGGATTTGAGGGGTAGGTCAACATTGTGTTTAGCTACTAGTCTCAATTTATTTGTTTTAATTGAGATTTCTAGATGAGTCTTTGTGTACTTTTTTCAAATACTGGAACAATAGACTTATATTCAGTAAGCATGAACCATAGTGGTGTGGTCATTGATGTAATTTTAGTGATGTTAAGTTGAGATTGATAAAGACACAGCTACAGAAAATGAATTAAAAATATAATACTCATTATAGTTCTGATTAACATTCTATTCATTGAAATTTTGTTAATTTGTAAGCTGTTTTGGTTGCAGAGAATCTAACCGAGAGGTAGACACTGAAATTGACACATTCCTCAGCACCCAATCTCCAAAGAAGCCTGTGGATCCATTGTCATACATAAAAGTATGTAGGAAACTTCTTTGGGTTAACTGTTAACTCCTAAATTAAGGTCAATAGCAGAGTGAGTGATTACATAAATTAACAAACCTTTCAAATCTAGTGGTTTCCATTAACAGCAAAACAATAATTGTGTGACCTGATAAATGTTTTGACATGGAGATAACAAACATATTCTTTACCTGTAATTTGTTTTACATGAAGCTAAATATTCTTGGGTACTATTTTGTGTGACTGAAGCACTTAGTGCTGGTTTATTCCTTTCCTGAATAACGATTAAATTTTATTTGGCATTAAATATGGATGGAGAGCTTTGTAAGCTGCCATCTGGGGTAGTGTCCAGTCAATATGCTGTGTTTGCATAAAGTGGGGTCTACTTTATACAGTTGCCACTGTTTTTCCTGTCGGATGATAAATCTACAAGAGCAGGTTGGGTAAAGCCAGATTAATTTTAATTTTAATTTTAACAGGCACTACCCCATTCTATTGTTTATTTGTCAAATTTTCACAAAAATAAAGCGAGTTGGAGTTCTGGAATATTATTATAATTGTAATTGTCTGATAAGTTGTTGTGTAGTGGCCATAAAAATTTACAGTGACCTTGGGTTGTATTTTTTTCTGCTCAGCCTAGATCAAATGCTGATTACATCAACAAAATCAGGACAAGACTAGAGGAAAACTCAGTTGCTAGAAAGGTATTGTATTTCTAAATCTACTGGTATGTAATGTTATATGTGAAGTAATATTATTATCATCATGTATATTTAACAATTATTCCACGAGCGCGCGTTGGCTATAATCTCATATCCAACAAGAGCAATTGGAATAATTGTTTTATTAAAAACGTTAAATTCAATTATTAAATTTTACTAAATTTTAGCTCCCTTTTAACTTTAAGCTGACGCATACGCTTACCATATTTGTAGATTGTGTTGTATTGGCTCATATACCATAATGGCTAAGCCAATAAAAAGTCTTGAATTGCATCATCCAATGAACCAGTTTTTAATAATGTATAATTATTTGATAACTGCCCAAAAGAGGTAGAGGAAATGTGCCTGAAGCTTGGAATGACCTTTCCACGCTGTTGCTAGTTGTTTAGTTGAATTTTAGATTTATTTTAAATGCACCTTGCACCAAAGTATGCTGAGTGATAAGAAGTCACAATAAATACAGGATCGCAGAAATTAACTAGCACATCCTCTTCTAGGAAAGAGAAAAGAGAAGAAGGAGAGTCTTGATTGAACAGATGAAGGCACATGAAGCTCAGGAAGTAAGTTTAAAGAGAAGCGAAATATCCACCAAGTAATTTAAATTGATATCAGTGTTACTTTAGCTTTGTTGTTTGATGTTTAGAAAATGTGGTCCAGTTACAGTTTTGCTACAAATCCTAGGAAAAATCTGGTTGAAGTATTCTGACTAGTACATGTAATTGACTAATTAATGTATTTCATATAGTTCTCACCTGGACATCAGAAAATATTTTTCAATGCCTATTTTTCAGGAAGCATGTAATATATATGCATTATTGACCAAACTTGAGGTCAAGATGGCTGGTGTACTTTCTCTGAAAGAACTTGGCCAATATATCCAGCCATCTTGATCAAACAAGCTTGGTCAGTAAAGTATTTATTATATGGCGAGAGGATTTCAATATAAACAGAATCAAGTATGACTTTTTTATTTTGAGAGCTGGGAAAGAACTCAAACTGCATGTGTTTGTAACACAATAAACCCATGAGAGTTGTTTAATGTTTTCTTTATTCTTTACTGTTTTGTGACTCCACTACTAACATTGTAAAAAAGTTAATATGAACTTTGTGAGTCTGTACCCAGGCAATCTTCTTGTGTGGGCCCAAGTGGGCAAGATGGGCCCATCTTGCTTGCTCGGGTGGCCAATCAGAATGCACGGTTCATTTCATATCGCTCATGGCTCTTCCGGCTGTATGACAAGGAACACTTAATGCTTAAGTGAATTTTTGTTTTGGAAAGATTCACTGATTAAAACAAATGCCAAACACTGATTTCATTGGTACATGATTATAATTCTTCATGAGATTCAAGATTTATAGTCTCTATTACATGGAAATGTGGATTAAATAATAAACAACAATAGTTGTAGAATGATTGTGAGAATCATTTGTTCCTTACAAGCAAAACATCTGTGAAACTTATCATTTCCTTCCCTTGTATTAAGAGTGGATTAGCCATGTACCAGACAACAAGACAAATCTATTTAATTTTTCAGGAAGCGCATCGTGAAGAGATGCTTGTGAACAGACTCATGAGACAATCACAGCAGGAGAGAAGGATTGCTGTCCAACTTATGCAGGTTGAGTCTTACACATATTACATTCCACATTCCACAATTGTTGGTATCAATCTTTATCAGTGCCAAATTACAGTGACTAATTCACTAATTTGGAAAGGCAAATTTGATCTGATAATTTTTTAAACTCATTATCAGCATTATCAACAAATTGAATCTAAGCTTGGATAAAATACCTAAGTATATACACTCTGAGGGGTTTTTTCATAGCCTTAAAGTTTAACTCCTTTGGTAAAAACTGCTGGCGTAGCCAGAACTAACAGGATTTCCAGTAAATGCCATTTGGTGGATGTATTAATTAAAAGTTAATCTCCTTGATGCCATTGTCATAACATTAAACTCAGATTTTGAATAATATTGCTTTCTCCCTTAACTGTAATACAAATTGCCCTGATATGATATAATACCATGTTGTGGGAAATAGAGATCATTAAATTCTTGCTGGGCTATGTTATACTCTTTCACAACAAGCAATTTCTTTTACAAAAATTCCTGTCCAATTTTCCTTCTGAAAAGGAGAATCTATGGATTCTTTTGATTAGGCATAAATGAGTGGGCATAACTGGTATAACTGAGTGAGCCCTTCGCTCTGACGAAGGGCTAATACTCGAAACGTCAGTTTTCGTAATCATTACAGTGGCCAATTTACCATTTCAACTTTGTTGATATATCCAAATTATTTCGTTACCCCCACCGATGCAGCCCCAAACAGTTTCTTTAGAAACTATCAGCCTTTATAACTGAGTGGGCTTGTTTTCTTCAATTGATGTATTTTGTTGTCTTTAAAAAGCCTGCAATATAAGTTGTTTTGTTTGTAACTTATATGATGCTCTACAGGTTTCAAAAACTTTGCTGTTTTGCTGTAAAATCTGAGATTTCAAAACTAACTTGTGAATGCTGTCAAATATGATGTATTAACTTTTTTGTTTTGATTACCCACAGATTCGTCAGGAGAAAGAAGTCATTCGACAGAATAGGTATGTACAGTTGAATATGTAAACTTAATTCTTAGAACAGTTAAGTCGTAACCTGTCTTTGAATTATGTTGTTGGTAGTAAACATTCATCCTCATGATAGTAGGTAATTTTTGGTCCAAATTATTGTTGATTTGTCATTAACTGAAAGTGTTTTTCCTCAAATAAAGGATATTTAGAGAGAAACAGTATGCAGAGAGAAGACTGAAAGACTTTGACGATGCATTAACAAGAGAAGCGGTGAGAGCTTATGAACATCATAGTCCTTAATGAGATAGAATAGATCGTGCATCATACGTATAGTCCTTAATGTTTATAACTTAGTATGTCAGTGTCAGTTCAAACATGTTCAACTTCAGGGCTGGTTATTTAAACAAAGTTTAGCCATTGTTTAACAAAAACTGTGTTCTAAAGTATCTTCAGTTTAGCTGAACCATTTTTCTGAGCATTAATTTTTGTGAACAGCATCATGAGGGCCAAAAGCTAGCAACAGAAATAACATTTTTGAAAATATAGTTAACCCTCGTATAGATAATACCTGAGGCCCACTGTTTGCATAAAACTGTGGTTTGGGTTACACCTGGTGTAAATAGCTGGCCCTAATTAAGTTTGATAAAATTTTCATGCAAGGTTTTACAAAATCTGCTTGGTGAATATTGTGATATACGTGCACTATCTTCTCTTATACTGCTCTACTTGTACTTATGTTGAAGTAATATTCCTGGGAAATGTATTTTGCTTACCTAAGTTTATTGTGAGAACGGTTCAGATCATGATACATGTAGGTTAGTAAATGATTTACTCTGTGATTGAGTAGTTACCATCACATTAAACTTTTGAACAGGAATTGTGTCGTCAAGCTAGAATAGAATATGCAGAAGAGACAAGGAAAGCCCAGGAATTGAATGATAAATTAAAAGCAGAAATTGCAGAGGCAAAGTACCAAAAGCACTATAACATCTGCAGGGAGGTAAGTTCCTCTTATAATGTTTCACCGGCTCTGTAATTTAGTATAGTATACTAATATACTAGGCAGGTTGTTTTGTTATGCAGGTAACAGGTAATTATGTAAGTTAATTGCCTAGGGACACTGACATTTAATACAAGGCATGGATTAAAGCTCAAAGGAAAAATAATTCTTGTGCCGATGAAGAGGAGAAATTTTTTTTAAATGATTGACATACTTCATACCTCTGTAAGTTGATTGCTTTCTCTGATCCTCTGATTTCTTCTATCCTTGTTTTTTTATACAAGTCATTATTTACATTGACATGTATTACTTACAACACATAAACTCTACTACAATGCATGACTTAAGATACATTACTTACAATTAGCTGCTTACAATGGAATCTTACAGTTATATAGTTTACAATGCTAACATTAATTGAATACCACAGTACTGAAATTAATAATATCAATGCATTGTTTTGAATATGTTTAAAAAGATTCAAGGCATACTTGCAAAAAAGGATCAAATGTGGATTAAACATTTATTTTCCATTTCTTGTTTTTTTCCATTATTTTCCATTTCTTGTTATTTTCCATTTATTTTCCATTTCTTGTTATTTTCCATTTCTTGTTATTTTCCATTTCTTTCACCCTTTTGTTAGCTGTTTGGTAGTCTATGAATTTCAGATGTCATTTTGCTTTGAAAAACACTACCGTATTTACCCGTGTATGATACGCACTTTTTTCTTACAAAAATAAACATCAAAATCACAGCGCATATTATACACGGATTCCATTGTTTGTCACTCACATCTTAATTTGCATAATTATGTTAAACACAACAATAAAAGTAACACATTTTAAGCTTTATTAAATAACTTATTTCTGTTGTAAGCAAAAAATGCACAAATTTCTTATGTGTAGAAAGCGCACACAATGGTATTCATTGGGGTTATATTGTTTACTTGACTTTATTGCCAGAAAATTGCATAGAGTTAGTTTGAAAATTCTAAAAATATGACGATATGACACAAAATCTTCAATACTTTTTGGACATTATTGTTGCTCACTCAGAACATTTACTGGGCCATGGAATCATCAAAGTAGCTAGGCCTTACTTGAAGTCCTAAAGTTTGATTTCAATAATGTCATAAATAACTAAGTAGCAAAAGATATTGATGTTAATGATATGGCAAATTTCTTATTCTTGTGGTCTTAATAAATAATTGTACAAATGTTGAACTTGTCTTTTATGCCATGAAAAACTTTTTTTCTGATAAATTAGGTTAAAAATAAGGATGCACATCATACATGGGCATGTCTTATATGTGGGTAAATACGGTAAATCTTGGTTTTAATGAACTCTTTTGTCTTTCCTTGCTTTTGGTTTTTTCTTTCTTAGGTTTTGTCACAGATTGTGGACTTTTCCTGTAAAGTAGGAGAATATAGAGAACTCACTGAAAAGTAAGATGGAATGTACTGTATGGTCTTAAAGGAAAGCATTGAAATGTTCATTGTACCAATCAACAAACTTTTAAGGTCTTCATAAATTTGTACAACTTTAAAGTGCTTTTATAATTTGGATTATTTGATCACTGTTGGTAGCATATAGGGGTTGGAAATGTGCAAGGGGTAGACAGTATAATTATATAAACAGCTGAGTTGCTCTCATGTTGATGAAACATGATTGGTGAGGAGTTTTATTCATGTCATGTACTGTGACAAACTTTATTGTTATATTGTGATAATTATCAAAAGTTTTTTTTAACAAAGGAAGTGACTTCCTAAGGCACCTAGCTATAAATTTACAGTAAGGTGCCAAAGAGGAAGAAAAAGATATGTACAATGAATTACAACATTTTCATTTTCTCAGCAAAAATTACCCAGCAGTGGACAAACTATTGCTTGTGCTTACAGTGAATTGTTGTTGGTTTGATAATAATGTGTGCACTTCATACAGTACTCTCTGTTCTGTTCTATTCTACGATAAAAATAATAAAGAGTTAATGATTGGTTTACTTTATGATGACCTGTTGTTCATTTGTATTCTCCATCAATGCAAAAGTTAAATTATATATGAATTAAATTTCGTATCTACCAACACAGACTCATTCCACCCAAGATGTTCAGGGAATGGAAAGCACTGTTTCTAGAGGGACTTCCCATTTACGAGGATCAGGTTAAGTCAATTTTTTCACACTAGATGTACTGTATTCTGCTTAAAATGTTCCCTAAGCCATAATTTTAAACTACGTTTTTAAAAGCTGCCAAAGGTTAACACCGCAACTTACGGTTTAAAATCGTGAAGGTTTACGATGCCACAACTATGGAACTAATACCTGAATCATATTATAGATCTATGTAAGGTTTTTTATAGAAAACTAGACTTGTCAGGTTTGATATGATCTTCATACTTACACCTTGTATCTTTAATTAGTTTTAGCTTTTCTCATTATTTTTATGAAGGGATATATCTAGTCTTATGTAAATAGTTTAAAGTCTTAATTTTAATCTTGTTTTATCTCAATTACTGTTGATGGTATTATCTCAATTTAGTTATTTTTACTTTTACTTTCTGTGTTATACCTGCAAACTAGCTGGTGAGATTGTTCTCACTTGACTTGAACTTGAATTTGTAAACAGGGTATTTAGGAAACATCCAAAGTAAATAATGGTGTTCTTTGTTCTTCGTTTTCAGCCACCAGAAGAGTCTAGTGCTGAACTTTCCAAACAGAAAGAAATTGAGAAAGAAAAGGAAGATTTGATGGATGAAGGAGACTTTTTAGAGTACAAAGTGAGTAGCAACCAAAAGCTAACAATGTGCAACTTTACATTTGGTTGGCATGAAGTTCGTCTTCAAATATAGACTAGTTTCAGAGGCCATAGAATCCTAGAAGTTCTGTTTTCCTTGTTGTTTGGGTGTTGATCTCTGCACAGACATAATTATATGAAATGCCTTTCATCTTGTTAATCGGGTTAACTTTTTAATAGCCTCTTTTAAGGTAAAGTTTAGATTGAAATGATTTTAAACTTACCAGAAATCTAAATATGTGGACATCTACCATATACGTCAAGTTATTTTTTTTTCTGTTTTTATGTAGAATTTGATTGGTGAATGGACTCCCATTGAAGGATCAGAAATCCAGGGACCTGCAAAGGATAATGCAGTCCTAGGTCACATCATTCACAGGCTCTTCAACATTGTTTCACCACCAGAGGTAGAGTCAGTGATTATGTATACCTCAAGTTCTTGAACTTGAGGTTAACCTCGTAACTATGCCTACAACAAACCAAAATAAATCTCCAATTTTCAACTTTTCCATAAGAGCACAAAATAGCCAGTTAATTGTCACTGGGGCTGATCCAGGATTTAGTCAAGAGGGGTTTGGAGAATTGTTCCCCTTCTGAGGGGTCCAAGATTTTGAAAATTAGGTCTTCGGAAACATGATTTCCAGCATTCTGAGGGAAAATTTAGGGGGTTCCACCGAACCACCCAAACACCCCTGGATCCGCCCCAGGGTCAATTAATGAAATTCTTGGTAATTTGCTGTAAAGACTTATAACGCCTAGATGGATAGTGTTTATTTATGCACATTTACAGCAAGCTCACTAAATTTTCTGGCAGAAAAGCCACACCCCTGATTTGTGACAAACTTTTTGGAACCACTAATTATATGCTGGTGTTCATGGTAATTCATTTTTATGGTATTGGAAAAGTTAGTGAATACTTAACTAGATCACCACACCAATAATAGGTAGGAAATAGGTGCTTTTGATGTCAATAGATTGTTACGGGTTTTCCATTTTTTATTATTATTATTATTGATATTATTATTATTATTGATATTATTATTATTATTGATATTATTATTATTATTATTATGTAGGCACCTCCACCTCCACCTGAGTTTCCACCTTTTCCAATCAAGGTCTGTTTTCTTGGAAAGTTTTTTAGTGGGAAAACCACAACAATCAATAAAATTATTGAAGGTGAGTGATGTTTTTTTGTTTTTTCGTAAATTGTTCGGTGATGTTTGAATTTGTTTTCATTAGCAGGATGATTGGAATTTTTTGCACATTTCTTTTTGGTGCTGACCACAAGTCATAGATTGTTGTCAGGAAAGTACCTTGGGGTTGTTATTTTGGAACTATCAACTCTCGTGGGTGGAGATGGGGGAGGAATCTGTCTTGTTTATGAACAGTACTTGTGCCAAACATTCAGTATTTTGCTATGTTTTACTCTTGCTTATATACATAAAATTGCACTTGACATTATGTTATTACCTGTACTTAAAAGTGTTGTAAGGTTTTTGCTAGAATGAAGCAACTGTTTCAAATTGATTTTGTTGCTAGTTACCAATCACTTCTTAAACACGAAGGCGCGCTATAAAAGGAGCCTTAGGTCCCACTGGACCATTTGTCAATCAACCGTCGTGTGATGTAGAACTCTTAGAGTGAAGTCAGCTTGAGCTACAGCTACTACTCCAAAGCAGTGAACAGCCGGCGCATTCCTTAAAATTGTTTTATGTATTCATCACAATACAAGAATTTTTTAGATTTGTATTTCCTTTCTCTAATGGAAACTATCTTTATTTGTGGCGGTAAATTTGAGATCGAAGTAGGTGGTTCGCATGTTACATCATTGCCACCATGCTGGTGGAAGTAAACATCTCATTAGCTCCTTCTGTTCGTCTACCAGCATTTAAATTTGACCCGCACACGTCAACGGTGAGTGACAAATGAGCCTAGGTCTTCCCAGGGAAGACTTCCTTATATAGCGTGCCTTTGTGTTTAAAGAATGCACAGAATATCGGAAAGCTATTTTTATTGGCCAATAAGATAGATATAAAAAAGCAGGGCTTCTTCCAATTTCAAAGAAAGGGCTTTTCTCTTTTTTTTCTTCATATGATTAAAATCTATTCTATTTTTGGACCATTCTTTCATTCCAGGTCATCGAATGGTTCGACTCTCAGTGGATGATCTTGTTGTAGATGCCATTGATGCTTTTAAAAGCAATGAATGTATTGAGGAACCTCCAGAGGAGACAGCAATACTGGTATTGTATTCATCTTAAAATTTGTAGTCGTAAAGGAGGCAAGTACACAAATTCTTGGTAACCTAAAAAGCCTTAAAACCAAGAATGAATTGTTTTTTGCAGGTTGAAGGGACCTCTTCTAAGAGAGTGAGCATCAATGAAGAGATTGGTAAGGGTAAAGATCAAGCATCTGAGGAGTCTAGGGCTGTGACACCACAGTCAGGTGCACCAGAAGAAATAATGGGAGAACGGAGAGGTTAGTATTCAGCAAACTCATAAGGAACTTGAATGGAGAGCTCTTAAAAAATTTCTCCTTTTGTATTGTCTCCCTTGTTGAGAAAGTGAGTTTGTTTTCTGGCTGATCTTAGATTAAAAAAAGAACAAAGTCCAAGTGAGCTCTGATGTCGTGGTTTCACATTCACTTTTGTGTGGTTGATCACTGCACAATCACATGAGGAGGGAATACATTGGAGTCAAGCCTGATTGACTGACTGCTGAGTTTGTGTAGAAAGCTCATCTTTTAGGGACCCAAAACTGTGCTAGCTGCAGTAGGCCAAAAGATTAAAAGAAGCCATATTTGAATTGACTTCTGTTAACATTTGGCTCATGATCACCATTTATAAAACAGGTTGTTGGATTAAAAAAATTTCCTTGTATTTGTGTACAAATAGAAAGTGAAGATCCTAACAAAATGGAAGAAAAACAAGTCAGTGAAGCTGTAGATGTGGAAGAAAAAAGAGATAAGACTAAAGAAGAACTCGAGAAAGAAATGACGGACATAAAAGATGATGACCAGAAATCACCATCTAAGTCTAAAGAGCTAGAGCCTGTTTTATCAAGAACTAATGGGCCTACTGTGAGTGTTATCTGATTGTATCCTCTTTTACATCCATTTACACTGGTATTTAAAGTAGATATGGTAATGGAGGGTATGCTGTAAGTGAAGTACCCAACCAGTCAGTCCCTTTTCAATGATATAAGGTGGTTCTAAAACTTCAAACTACAAATTTCTTTTAGTCTTTGTGGAAAGATAAATATGATACTGCAAATTTTGTTACAGTTAACTTTTAATTAAATGAACAGATGAAAATGTAACAAAATATGATGTCTGGAAATAAAAGTCCTCACCCAGAGGGCACCTTATTAACCTTTTTTTGGACTTCATGGGCTCTTCTCTCTCCCCACTCCATAACAGTGTTTGGGTGCATATGACACTCTTATACTTAACTGAGGAAAACAAGCATTGCTGTAGACTGTTAGGGGGTATTTGCTTGTCATGAATGAGTATATGTCTCAATGATGTCTTCCAAGATTGCAGCTCTTTTTAATTTGATAATGTTTACCATAATATTGACCTCATTAAGATTGAGCTTTGACTACAATAAGTAGTATTTTTTGTTAGCTGTTCAAATATTACATGCCCGAGGGATCCTTAGGTTTCTTGTCTTCCTTAACAGTGTTTGGGATAATCTCTACTTTGTCACCAATTGATTGATGGTTTAAACTGAAGGTAATTATAAACTATTAATATGAAATTTTTGATGTTTTCTATTGGCAGCTCACTGTCCGTGCTAAACTGGGTTCAAAGGCTTATAGCTTTCTTAAAAAGGGAAAAACCACACCGGACCAATTATTAGTTGATATCATGGTAGAAGCTGTCAGGTAAGTGTGGTTACTTATAGTAACTCTAGTGAAACCAAATGGCCCATTCAAATGTGATCCATTAGATGTAGTTCTTTTTGAAATTTCTCATTGACTCATAGTCAACGATGATGATCGCTATAAACAAGGATGTATTCTCTTTGAAAGGCAAGTCCCAGAGGGTACCGGTTGGATCATGGATGGATTTCCTAGTACCATTAATCAAGCCAAGGTAGGTTGTGACTATTGGAACCAACTCAGTTCATAATGTATGTGACAGTTATGTGAGGTTTTTCAACCCCTGAAAGCAGGGGATTATGAATGGCTGGCTAAACTCCTGTTTCTCCTCTTACACAATCATTTCAACTTTGTTATGGGGTGTGACTACCTTAAATATAAGCATCTCAAGACTCTCAAATTGAAAAACCTGTGATACCAGTCCCTTGAACTCTAGGAAATTAAATTATTCCCTTTATCTAATTATTCTGAAACAGAATGCCAATTACCCATTTTATGCATTACATGCAAGGGTTAGCCAGGTTCTGCAACAACCTAGCTACCCCGATACCCAAGTAGTGCATATTATTCCAAGTCCTTGATGTATGTTTCCTTTTTCAAGCAGCTTAGAATCATATTGAATGGCTATGCACATGAACTTGATGCTACACTTAGTTGATATGGCCTACGTTAGGCTTAAATGTAAATTAACTCTGGCAAGAACCCTGCTTTGTGGGAAAAACCTTTCTTCAGAAAAAGCCTAAGGGTGGAATAAAAACCTTGTCTACTTGGCTGAGTTGGAAATCAACACCCAGAGGTGTTTAACCTAGAAGAAAGGGATTTCACTTAATGTTTTTCTCCAATAAATTTTCAGTTGCTGGAAAAATCACTCAGTGGATATGATGCACAGAAGGAAGCTAAGGATGCTAAAGCTGCCAAAGAGCCTAGTAAAGTCAGCAAGACCAAGAAATCCAGACTGGCACCAGACCCTCATCCTCCACATGAGGTAGGTATTTATTAAGAAACTAGAAATTAGTTTCAGTTGACTGACTGGAGTGCCTGGTCATTATCTTGATGGACCTACAGACTTGTGACTTTTTTTGGCTAAGAATGTGCACAATTTCATTAGAAATTATCTCTGAAATCAAATAGTTTCACTGCCTCTTCTGTGATATGAAAAAGTGGCTAATGAATGTCAATGGATGCCTACACTTTAAGCTGTTTTCTTGCTGATGTTATCAGTTCACTTTAGAAGAAATTTGTGATTGACATGCTGCATGTACCAAGATATTAAACCCTTCACCAATCTTATTGACAATGTGTAAAGGCAGCTTTGGACTTTACCTGTCCTGAGGTACTATCTATTTACAGGTAGACTATATATTAACCTAACTGAGTTACTGCATTGCCAATGGAATATTTTTTCATGATCAGACTCCTGCACCCAAGAGTGGTATTGACTTGGTGTTGTTGTTTGACCTGCCTGATGAAGTGTCACTAAAGAGAGCTGAAGGAAGAATGTGTAAGGACTTTATGACCAATCTAACTTCATTAACTTGACAAATGAGGGTTGATATTGGTTTAATATCTTAAAAGCAAAGAAAACCGGAAGTTCTGTAATTCTCCAGTCACACTTTTGGCAAAAGGAATTGATGTCCAGACAACCCAAATTCAGTAATTACCATGTGTCAAATAGAAGTATTCTTATTTTTTATTCACTCACTCACTCACTCACTTACGTATAATTCACAGAAATCAAACTTTTAAGCACCAACCAACTTCTTTTTCCTATTTTTTCTTTTTCTGTTTTTTCGAATGTCTTTTTTTTTCTGACGGATGAAAGCTCTTTGTAACTGTTTAAAAATGTTTAACTGGACAAGAGTATGCCTTGATAGAATTGTCCCTCTTTTAATGTCAGGCAACCAATGGTCTGTTTGTTTTCAGATGATCCCACATCTTCCCAGCAATACCATCAAGAGTATAATCCACCAGTAGAAGGCAGTTACACAGGAATTAATAAACATGAAAAAGTTATCCCCGTGACTGATCCATCAAATGACCGTGAGCAGGTCCAGCAGAGGTTAACCTTCCTCTATTCTTATTTTACTCTCTATTCTGGCAAAGTAACCTTAATGAAATACATAGGATTGTCTAATGAAATTTTTAGATGGCTGAAATATAATAAACTGGAAGCTTGACTCAAGATTTCTTTGACATATTTCTCAGCTATATGAATTTCTTCAATCTCTTTTAAATGCCATAATTTAAAGTTATGGTCTGAACATGAAATGATGGAAGCAAGGTAGTAAGAAGAGTTACTTGCTTACCTTGATGTGAGAGGTTTTTTCTTCTTACAGGATTGTAGGCTTTGGTGATGGCTGGCCAAAGCTGGAAAAATGGTTTACTAAGTTTGGTGTTCTTCAACGTATTGATGCAAACACCAGTCAAGGTAATTACAGTTATATATGTTGTTGAAATTATCTGCTCACTGATATTTGCATTACATTGTATCAGCTAAGCGTTTCCTAATTTATTTTGATCAGGTCCATGTCATTATAATCCCTCAAGAGGTGGACAATATAGGGTTTTTAATAGTCAAGGTAATCACCTTGGTGGTCAACTGGCTTGTCACTTCAAATTTTCCTGTTTTTGTGTTTAGATGAACTGTATGATGAAGTATCAGCCCTTCTGAATGAAACTTATCAGAAATTAATTGCACCACCTGAGGAGCTTCCTTCTGTGAGTTAAATCTTCATTGATATCAAGTGTACAATGTTCCAGTTTAAGAACAATTTTTCAGTGGGTACAATGTATTACTGCAACATTTAATGGAATCTTAATGTCACTATCAATAAACAAATGACACTTTTAGTGTCAAGCTTACAGGTAAGATGAGACCAAATTCTTAATTAGTTTTAGTTCTTGTTAATGTTTGAGACTTTAGTAGCATTCATGATCTACCCACTCCTGAATTCCTTTTTACCTCATGGTACAGTGTTTGTCATACTATGGTGTAGGTATGGCCCTGAAATTCACTCACTCACTCAAGCTCACTCACTCGCTCTATTCTAAACTGTTAGACAATCAACTGATACATTGAATGTGGAATAAAGATGCTACCCCCTGCCTTCCCTACTAGGTTTGGTTCTGTCCCCTCAGTTGTGCCATTGTCTTCTGTTTACATATCTGGGAAGTGGGACAAAGGCAGATATTTTTTGCCTGAGTACATGTGGAGATCAACATGAGTAATTCAAAATTGCATCTGTGGTATACTGTAAGTCTGTTAATATCCAATGATTAGACAAAAATATCATGCTTAAGTCACAATGTCTGGGAGCTAACGTTATGTATGGCCTTAATCTCTATTCCTTAATGGCTCTGCATTTTTTTTTCTGGAAACAGGAACCCTCTGTTCACCCAGGACAAGCAGCTGAAGGTAACATTTACTGAGTACATAAAGATATTTGTAGGTCACCAATATTATTTTAACATTTGGATTTGCAGTTGAAATTGTCTGTAGTGATTTAGAGTAATAACTTGGCAGTGACCTGAAAAATTGTCCGATTTTTGTTAAAAAAAAAGTTTCATGAGGCAAAAAAATGCCCATGTAACATATCTTTGTGAGACAATCGTGTCTAAATGGTAAATTTAGCTTAAGCTTTTTCCATATGGTTTTCATGCATGAGCCCTGTGGTGTTTAAGTTGCAAGATTACATTATAATTCAATCATCCCTAACCCCACATATGAGACACAGTCTTATTTTTCTTTCAATACAATCATGCTTCAACTTTCTAATAAATCATAGAATTTCTCAATCTGAATGATTTGGCTAAAGACCTAGTGGAGAGGTTGACATTTTTTTTTTTTTTTCCAGCTGAGACTCCATCAGGTACTCAGTTAACTACTGGTGATGGGCCTTCAGGTGAGGGCTTGGGAAGTGAGGGTGTTACAGCTCCTCCAGAAAGTGCTGCTCCACCATCTGAGGCTCCTTCTGAGGTAGGCAAGTCAGAGAAGGGTACCTCAAAGAGTAAAGCAGACTCTAAACCAGGTTTGTTTCGAAACTATTTAGCCTTGTTGCGTAAATTTTCATACAATAGCGTGAAGGTTGCAGTTGTTATATGTTCCTCGCGTTGCCATGGCAGAACTACTTTCAATTTCCAACTTTGTCTTAATTACTCCTTGATAGTTTTGTGACATATGAATAAAGGGGTAAATTTCTAAAGAACTTTGGTGCTGCTTCGATGGGGATATCAAGGTAATTGGTTTTATCAACTGAGGTGATAGCATAAATTAGCCACCGTAAAGAGTTTAAACCCTTAATGGTTACCAATTTACATTATCAACTTAGTCGATAAAGCCAAAGTACCTAGTTTTGTGACATGTCAGAGTTAATCAGACTGAAATTAATTCGTAGTTGGCCATTCATATCTATAATGGTTTATCCTCTTCAACATTGGAAGTGTACATGTAATACTTTTGTCAATTGTATGAGCAGTTGATCTGTCTTGAAAATTTAGCAAGTTGAATTATTGATTTTAGTAATTTTTGTCGGAGGATAAGACAATCAGGCGCTTGTGTTTTTGGTTTAGCTTCTAAGGAACATTAAACATATTTAAACGTCACTAGTTGTTGTCCCTGTATCAAGGCTCTCCAAAGTCCAGGAAAAGCAAGAAGGAGCGTTCACCCTCCCCACCAGCATCGAAGAAAGGAACCAAAAGTCGCACCCCATCCCCCTCCAGTTCTAAAAAAGGCTCAAGATCAGGTTCCAAATCACCATCAGCGTCAAGAAAAGGTTCGAGGCCTACTTCCAAGGGATCAAGACCGGGATCAAAGAGGGCTAAATCTGCCAGTATGTGTTTATTTTATTGACTGGAGAGGCGGTTTCTATGTTAAATTTTCTTTTTCGGTAGTGTCTTTTTATTGCAGCATTTTATGGGAACATCTGATCTCTGAAATATATTTTCCTTTTCTATATATTGGAGTCAGAGCTTATGCCCTGTCCCACTTAGGAAGAATAAGAAAGGCTATTTGAATGTAATACTTGATCTCGAGAGTGAAACTCACGGACGGGTATAGTACATCTCAAGATACTCCTAGGGCTCTCAAGGACATTCTAACTTTAGAAAAGCATGCGCCAGGAAAATTTTCCTTCTTTCAAACATTATTTGACGGAACTGAAAGCTCGCATGATTAAGGATAACTTTTCATTCTTGAGACAGGTTCGTGTTGTTTTTTTCACTTAAGGATGTTGGCTTAATTTTGTTTTGAATCCACAAGAACAGAAAAATAACTAAACGCTTAGAACCTGAGAAATATAGAAAGGTTTAGGTTATCGAGTGATCAAGAGTTAAGAACAAATGACTGGAAAGAAGGAAAATATTAAGTTTTACAAAGAGTACCTTTTGATCAAATTTATGATGGAAAAGCGAAGTTGAGTGGAAGTGGAAAGCAAAGCTTTATGGAAATACAAGTCATTTTGGTGAACTTTACCTTAAATCAGTGAAAATTTAACTGGACTCCTATGATGGGATTGTAATATGAGCACATAGGATTACACGGCTTTCTCAAAATAAATTCAAGGTGTTGGATTGTAGAATATCTTGTACTTACTTGTCACTCTAGTTTTCAAGGGTAAAATCGCATCGCAATGACTTGAAGTGGGAACAAAGATTGCCTCGAGGCAGCGGTTATTTAAGTGTCAAGTGTTTAAGACACCATGGGCAACATTTCAGTGTAATAGATAACTCAAATCCAAGAGAAACATTTTCTTTTTTTAAGTAAATGCGAGTTTTGAGGTAGCAAAGGTTCCCTGTACGTTATAAACTAGGATAAATAATCCGAGTGACCTTGTTATCCTAGAAAAAAGCGCTGAAGAGCCAGAGGAGGAGATTGCACCTGAACCCCAAGGACCACCTGAACCAGAGCCTGGGTCCGAGGACTGGGAATATGTTGACCAAGCCATTGATGCGGTATGTTTTTTTAATTTATATCATGCAATGTTTGCTACTTTTCCAGTGAAATATGACCTCATGTCAGAAGTACAACTTTATTATTATTTGCTTCGCACGTTGTACACTGTTACATTAAACTGGACGGCAAATAGGTCAGCTAATTTAGATGGGCCAGTTTAGGATTATGACATTCTAAATAAATAATAAGATTGAGAAAGTACTGGAACAAGAAGAACAAAGAACAAATAGCGTGATATATGGATTTTCTTCTTTTGTACCAAATGTTTTCTGGTGCATGTTTGAAGTTTTGTTTGAAAGCTTTCATATATCTAGTATGTAATTATATGATTTAGTTTGGAAAGGTGTAGCGTTTAAAATAACCCGAGGTACGAGGCGTTGGTGTGGACGTTACGATTAAATGGCTGGAATTCCCCATTTCTCTGACAATTGAATGAAGGCTCATACTTTCTATGCAAGGAGGTTTCCTTTTAAGACTTCCCCTCAGTTTTTCTTGGCACCAGCAAGAAAATAGTAAAGTTTACGTTTTACAGTATTTAAGTGTAAGAAATCTGTACGTATTCATCCACTTGTGTCTTTGTAGGATTTTGCTGGAGTTCTTGTATCTCAGTGGGAAAATACTGAAGATGTCTATGTTGACTCTTGTAAAAACGTCTTTGGATTGATCAGACGGGAAAGAGAACTTATCCACAGATATTTCTACGGAGTAAGGTTAGAAATTGGCTACAGAAGCTCAAACGTTTTTTTATGTAATTAGGCATTCATGACGGCTACCACACAATCCACTCTAAATGAACATGTTTCAAAAGAGATTTGTTAGTAATTGGTTTTATTTATTATCCAATTATGCTTCATAGAGTACAAGTAACGCGCGAGACGAGTACAAATATCACGCGATGTTTGTACTCCAGAAACATCCGCGAAATTCGCCCGTATTGAAATAACAATTTGGCGTGTTGGATAATAAATATCTTGTTATACGTTTTGTTGTGTAGTATCGCGGATTATTATCCAACTACACTCCGTAGAGTACAAATAACGCCATAGACGAGTACAAATATCACGCGGTATTTGTACTCCAGAGAACCGACTAGACAGGTTTTCTCGCATCGCGCAAGCGAAGTAAAGAAAAAAAAATTGGCGGACAAATTGAGTCATATTTCTGACGACGAAGAGTCGGAATGGCTAGCGAATATAGATCCAAGTTTATTAGATGAATCGAATAAAGAAAAACAGTCAGACGACCAAGAAATTTCTTCATTTATTGAAGAAAATAGAAACAGCAACATGACAATGCGCCAATTCCATACCGCTTCGCATACTTATGTCACGCACTCCCTGTAAATAAATATCCGCGAAATTCGCCCGCACTGAAATGACAATTTGGCGTGTTGGATAATAAATAACTTATTAGACGTTTTGTTGTGTAGTATCGCTGAGTATTTTTACTCATTGGTGGTATATTGACTCGCTCTACGGGCTCGTCAAAATACGACACAACTCGTCTAATAAGATATATGTATTTTTACTCGTTGTTTGTATTTTGACTCGCCCTAGAGCTCGTCGGAATACGGCACAACTCGTAAAAATACTCAGCGATACTACATAACAAAACATCTTATAAGATAAATATACTGTAACTCCCCTTATGACTTTTCGCTTTCTTGTAATGTGACTCGAACCTCCAACATTTTACTATACCATTCATTGTAGCTCTAATTTGGTTCGTTTTACAGAAAAGATTTTGTAGCGTTTTTGAAGAGGCCAGACGAGAAACAGGAATATGTCCTTCAATGGCAAAAGGTAAAGTGTAAAGAACAGTTTAAACGGTAATTCAAAACTATCAACAGGCAGAGAGATTGTAAGATGCTTTTTACATCGGAGACATGGTCTCACTTTAAAGAGATTTTATATTTGGCTTCGCTTTACCTGTAGAAGCTGTACTTCCGAGCTCCAGCTATCGTGAGGGAAACTTCGGAGGGAACCAGGTTGTTAGACAGTTCGATAAGCCTTTGGCCCGTATACCAAAATTCGACTCTCTAATTGCCGTTTTGAAACAATTCGAATGGCTGATCGCCTGATAACTCCGGAAGGTGAGCCCTTACCCTGCGGTACTGGCCTCCGGCATTGTTGAATTGTCTTTTCCCTTTCAACGAATGCGTCGTGTTCCTTGGCGATAAAAACCCCTTTTTAGGACTTTTAAGGCCATGCGGGTTTGAGTTGCGACTCACAAGTTGGAAAAATATATGAAGAGTTACTATGTAACCTTCGTTCCAGTAAACTTCTTCGAACTAGAAGTCGAAGCATTTTTCATGAGTGAGACTTCTGTTTGAAATAAGAACACACCTCCAGTCAACCTCCCGATATTAAATCCAAAATTGCGCACCGTAACCATGGTATGGGGGCTATGAGACATACGTAAATATTGTTTCTTGTTTCGTTATTTACGGGTAATATATCTTGAGCGTTTTTAACTGCAACCTTTTGCTACCTTTTCGTGCAACTATCAGCAGTTTTTTTTTTTCTTTCAAATTTTGGCACAGCACCAATCGTTACTTTCAGTAGCTCAACCTTACCACTATTTTTGTTTTATAACTATAACAGAGTTGCTTGTGCAATTGATCTTGCAGTCGTACAATGAAGTGAGTGAAGATATGAGAGGAGACGAGGATACCAAGGCGGAGCTTCACCAGCAGCTAGACGTATGTACTACCTACTTCCCTTTTTTTTGCTGGAAATAGTTCTAAAATAGTAACTCGTGGGTGTGGCCTGGACAAGGAAAAAGTCCTCCGTGTGAATCAGTTGAACTCAGCTGGAATTGTTATTTGGCTATCTTGAATTCTTTACCGTCTAAACAATAGATAATTCGTCGACGACTTCGTTGTATTTCTTTTAATTTTCTGTTGACAGGGATTTTCTGTTTTTCGTGCAGGACCTGTGTGATCGTTTGCACGATATCTGTGACAATCGAAAAGACTTGGCAGAGAAGGAGCGACAATCAGTGATGAGTGAAGGCTGGCTGGAAGATCGGCTTGGTCTCCTTACAAACTTCTACATCACACTAATGCAAGCAGAAGTCGACAGATACCAAGATACAGTGCGGCTGCTGAGGGACTATTATGTTGGTATGGAAGGTAAGGCTGCTTTCTTTTGTTTTTGGAAATTTCTCTCGCTAAATGGACTGGGTCTAAAAACTTGCTTAAGGTCAACATACCTTGTGCACTGCGGGTAAACTATATTCATATAGTTATAAACTTCTTATTTATCACGAGACAATCCATAACAATTTATTTCCATTCAGGTAGTTGTACAAATTTTATCACACACTGGTACAGTTTTTGTTTTATCGTAAACCACTATTTCATATCTGAAGTCATAGTTAAGAGAGCGAATCCAGTTTGCTCTATTAACTATGCT